TCCATAGTGATTTACAACCTACATATGAATACAACTATGGCTGTTTAAATTCTACATATGAATACAACTATGGTTGTTTACAATCTGCATATGAATACAACTATAGCAGTTTACAATCTGCATATGAATACAACTGTAGCAGTTTACAATCTGCATATAAATACAACTGTAGCAGTTTATAATCTGCATATGAATACAACTGCAGCAGTTTACAATCTGCATATGAATACAACTGTAGCAGTTTATAATCTGCATATGAATACAACTGCAGCAGTTTATAATCTGCATGTGAATACAGCTGTAGCTGTTTACAATCTACATATGAATACAACTGTAGCAGTTTACAATCTGCATATGAATACAACTATAGCTGTTTACAATCTGCATATGAATACAACTGTAGCAGTTTACAATCTGCATATGAATACAACTGTAGCTGTGTACAATCTGCGTAAAAACAAGTCTATTTGTGGGAGTACAGAAAAAAATATACAGACTGAACAATGTGTCACATGACCAAGAGCGGTTCAACTATTACAGCAGGTATTATGTCACAATTTTTTGGCAATGTACAATTTAAGGCAGAGCAGTAAAATTTTACAATGATTACAAGCAAGCATTTTTTTCAAAATAAATATTCACTAAAATAATAAAATTTATACCAAAATGTTCATAACCAAACATCCAGCATTTTATAGAATAAATGATGCCTGATATCAATGACATAGAATAATGAATAAATAAATGAAAAAAAACATTCATCTAATTTGCATAATACACTATTAATCATAGGGTTCGGACACAATACCCAGAATTCTGCATGATTTGTACTCTTGTACACGACTTAAACTTGCCTTTTTAGAGGATGCCTCTATGACCTCCAGCCCTGGGTAAAGGTCAAATACGTTGTCATCTTGAAAGGCTCGACTTAAAGCGCTGTGGTCATGTAAATAAACAATATATTTTAAATGCGCTGTATACATCGCTATGAGTCTCATATCGAACAGGACGCGGCGCGACGACTGCCAACCTTTAAACTTTTCAACGTATCAAAATGTCACAGTTATTACATTGCAGTGTGTTAGATATGGTACCATGTGGTGTATACAACAAGTGTAAAATCTATTGTTTATTTGAAATTTAACGTTTATGACACTTTACATATTCAGTAAGACTTGACCAATAAAAACTCTGGGTGAGAGATTGTAGATGAACTGCACCAATTATTTTTTCCTTCATTTTTTTTTGAGCACCTTTTTTTTAATGACGTAGCTTTCTAGATTTTCCATGCCTGTATGAGATTTTTTTCTGTGATTTATAATTTTTTGTTTTCTGTGTATGTTTAACCCCCCCCCCCCCTCCCCTCTGAGTTTAAATGGACAACCACTATGATTGGATTATTGTTTACACAGATTACCCATTCTAATACATAGTTCACGAACCTCAGAGAAAATACAAATTCAGTGTTTGGGTTTCACTCAAACAAAAAAAAAAACAACAACAAAAAACACAATATTGAGGTAGTGGTATCAAGGTAGAAATAATATATAAATGTACAATGATAAACTGCAAATAAATAAATATTATGATAAATATAATTTGTTTAAAACATAAATTTGACCCAAAACAATTTATAAACCTTCAAATATATACATACATTTTATATATGATCAAAAAAATCTCAGCTTAGGACGCAGCAGTGTGAATGAATATAGAAATAACCTCATTAAGTAAATTCAATGTTACTGTCAGTGTCTGATATATAAAAGCCATTGCCTCAGAGGCCAATCTGAATACATCTCAAAATATTTCAGAACACAGAAGCTCAAGCCATGTTAGTTGGAAAATAATTTAGTAAGACTTCCTTAGGACCCCCTCACCCCTAACTCTAATCCAAACCTTGCAGAAAACTGGGGGTAGTGGGAACATCTTTGAGAGTTTGCCATTCAGACAGTATACTGCCCTCTAGTGGAGACAAATGTCAAAACATGCTCTGTCATCCAGCGGAAAGAAAGTACCGCCCTCTAGTGGTGATGCTGATTCAGCACAAAGACAAATTTAACATGACAAAATTAATCCAGAAATAAATAAGTACATTCTGCAGTCTGTGGTTAAGTGAGTATAAATTATGGTAAAAAAGTGTTTTGGAATAATAATTTGGGATGGTATCATGATTAGTTAAGATTTGAACATAAAATCCTATCTCGGGGAAATATTTCACCTGAGACACTCCATCACCCTTCCACATCCACATTGGCTATTCACCTTTGAGTTTGATTTTTTCCACAACTTTAATCCGAAGCCAAAAAAGGATAATAAAATTAACAATTAGTAAAACTGCAGTTAATCCAAACGTCATCATAAAACTAGGTTCAAAGTACTTCTCAATGATTTCTCGTCTATTAACTAAATCGAAATATTCCGCTTGCATTTGACTGTACGTACATATAGGTATGAAGATGTGGAAAAATTGGTGTCCATGACCAACAATATCAAACCAGCCTGGGGCAATTTTCTGTGGATACGGTAATGCAAAGAAAACTGCTCCTATCAAAAACCAGAACACTTGCGCTTCATGATAATAAATTCCTTCATCTGTACAGGAATTAGATTTACACATGATTATATGGTGAAAAATTGGGGCTATGATCCAGAGGTATAAGCTACCGACAGATCCAAGTTGCCAAAGCTTTCTTGTATAGGGGTAAGGCCGTGTATATTTAACTTTCGGATATCCGTTAGCAAAGCATGCAAATGAAGCCAAACACAAAGTTACAACGAAAAAAAACCATCCACTGCCAATGAATTTTATATACGACTCCTCAGCACTGTAATAAAAGTGAACCATACCACTAGAAAAACCATAGAGACTGATACCAATATAATCCATGAAAAAACAGGTGTAATGAGTTAACTCAGACTGGGACTGGAACAAGTGGGCAGTGCTGCTAAGAAAGACATACATACAACAAGAAGTGCAGAAAATCAGTAATGGCCAGGCATGCGGGTCACTAAGGTCAACCTGGGAAATAAAAGTCAAAGACCGGTACAGTAAAATAGAAAATGCAATGACATGAGTCCAGACATTTAATAATTCATTGTGGACTTGGAACATACTCAGCGCATAGTATGTGATTGGCTGATTTGGGATTCGGTAACCGTTGTGTACATCAGGCTCACGGAACAACTTTGGTACTTCGGTAGCACTCTTTGTACGTGGTAAATTTGGAAGTTTTGCCATGATTATTATCCTCCTTGCACAGCTCTACAATCTGAGGTAGCCTGATAATTTGGTAGATTTCCCACGATGAATTGATTGTATACACCAATAGTAGTAATGTCACATCAAAGGACTTTATTAATCATATTTAAATAGACACTGAAATAGATGAAAGAAAAGTTGTTATACATATAGTGAATACAGTCCATCTCGGCCACAATCTAACCCGGCCAGTTGTAATTGTAAGTGTGAAGTGGTCAGTAACACAAGTTTACAACAACAAAAAATGAAACTGGCATGGTGTTGATTTCAATAATTCCTGTGACTGTGATTGTTGTTGATTTCAGTGATGCAAGTTTACAAAAAGACACAGACATTACATCGGAAACACAGACATTGCATTGGTGACCATCTGGCTCTGCTATGTAAAAACTGTGTATCGTACAGTATTAGTATTTTATTTTTTACGGTGCACTGCTGCACCACTGAAATCAATATCTTCAGTATTTTATTTTTAACTGTGATATGACTGAAACCAACAACACTCGCAGATCATTAACACCCACATAAACCGGCCGACTTTAACCGCTGGCCACGTTCTACCCTCAGCCAAGTTCAAATCTGGCCGAGTTTGGCAGACACCCATATAGTGAGTGAGTAAGTGAGTGAGTGAGTGAGTGAGTGAGTGAGTGAGTGAATGTATACCATTCATAAATGGTTTATAAATTACAAATTACTGTTGAAAACAACTTAACTGATGTATAAATGTAACTTGGCCAATGATTGAAAGAAATCCACAAAGGCTCATTGGTAATATGTTAATATATGTTACCAATTGGTTTTATAGCCAATAAAAAAAACATACTTGTGCTATGGTCTTCCATATAGTAAATGTTTTATAAAGATTTCATAAATGCATGTCCATTATGAAATTCACTATATTGGATAAGATACTACTTTAGATTACTTAAATATTCACTTTCACTATGCTATAAAAGAATTCACTGTATATAAAGGCATTTCCAATTATATTTTTTTCCTGATTGAAAATAAATTCCCAAGTACACAAACTTGTTCAGTCATAACATGGAGCTTTTTTTTTTAGCTCCATGGTCATAAGAACAAACACGTGGTTATATTTAATGTTATTGAGTTATTTCCGTGAGGGGAAATAATTTTTTGTTTTTATTCGCACTAAAGTAAGAAATATTGCTGCATTAGGTGCATAGGGCGGTGGTCGCCGCGTCGCGTTCGATGCAATCATGGATATGTCACGGTGTATACCGTACACACGTATTTAACACGATGCGCGACCACCAGCGCCCTTTATTTTGAGTTGTCGCGACTTCTCTGTTAGCGAGCTCAAATTTATTAAAATTAGGCTCCGCGTACACTGCAACTAAAGGTAGACACACATATATACCTGAACAGAAAAAAAGATGAACGGATAATGCAGGTTTTCCTCTCGCTTCTGTCACAGGCTCCACTGCTTAAAATCCAATAATATTACAGTTTATATGTCCATCTCATATCCTGTCTGTGTGATAAGAATTAAAGTAGGTTCAGTCTGATATAGAAATGCATGCAGTCTAACCCACGCAATGAAGCGAGCCCCGGCTGTCACCGTGAACTCTGCAATTATTCACGATTCGAAGAGACTCGCGTCCGAGACGCGACCGAAAAGGAGGATCGTTCTCCGGAAATGCGTCGCATGTGATATTTTAGAATACTTAAAATTAGTGTACAATGTACAGAAATGGTATAACATCATACAACAATAAAGATTTTGAGAATAAATATTAAAAAAAAATCAAGCGGCTTACGTACACCAGCAACGGTATCCACATCAATTACTTTCTCTCCGTGTCAAAGGTTATTTATAAACCTTTTAACTCTGAAACAATTATTATAACTTTCATAATTCTTCATCAGTAACTGTCTTATCACATGAATTATTATTATTATTTATTATTATTCACATTATAAAGAATAAAATTGACAAATAAAATCGTATTTAGTATAAGTTGTTTATTTAGTTTTCCCAAAACGATAATAGGATAGTTGGGCCTTCTATGATGCTTTGTAAAATATTGACTAACTTAAAGGACCTCTACCTCTACAATGCATTCTGGGTTATCATCAACCATTTTGGAATGTGTTTAGGGCAGCAATTACTTCCTGGATTTCCGTGAAACTTCTTCCGATACGAAGTAATCACTATTTTAAGAATTTATCAAGCAGTTATGGGGCTGCCCTGACCAAGATACGGTACGTCGTGTTATCTTTATTGTTCTTTTGTAGTATGGTTGAATGTGATCGCGTTCAAGAAGAAACTGAGTTTTTCAGTCCGTTGCTTTACCGATGTGATTGTGAGTCACTCTCTCATCTGAGATTCGCAGAGCGTAGACTTGCCATGCGTTGGTCGCAGTTTCTTATTGTTTAGATTTGTATGCGAGTTATCGCCGATACTAATTGTATTACTCACGTAGAACTAGTTAGCGTGATTTTGTCGTGACGTGAAATTTGACATGGTGCAGTCGTTGCTTGTTGATGAACCATTGCCTCAACCAAGGTTCCACTGGACTGTCAGTTTATTGTTGATCATAAACATGACCTTGTTACTTTGTACGAACCTAATAGTCGAACGAACCTTGAAATAACCCGCCACCCCACCCTACGTATATAGAATAATAAATATTATTTTCAACTCTCCAAAGACGCAATGTTTGGTTTCAAAATAAATTATTATTTTTTTTCTTAGTGATAATATTAGACAACTCAGATTGTTTTGTTGTTGATATATTATCAAATTATTAACTTTAGTTCGTGATTGGATTATCAAATGATTCATATTTTCTGGTCACTGACATATACTTTTACGCATAATAACTGTGCATGAACTCAAAAATATGATATTCAGTCACATCTACAAAAGAAGGCACAGAAATACATACAGCATGAGTTGTATGATTTGTTCATTGAAATAGAATTTTACTGAAAATCAATACCATAATAAAGTTATTTTCATTAGTCTTTGAGTGAAATGTATTTTTTATTTGGTGCAGCTCCTAATTTACATAGTGAGCCCCTGTTACAAAAGGGAAGCAATAAATAAATAAATAAATATTAATCCAAAATTGTCAGTTATATGCAATGTTCCTAATTAATGAGCTTATTTGCATATTGGCACATAATTATAAGAAATTGTATCTGGGATCTACACACTAAATCTGCAGCTTATACCCCATCCCTTAAGGCTTGGCATTAACACTTTCTTCACCAAAATCCAACTTACGACACCATCTCCAAAATAGTTACATTTATAGTCCTTTCCTTTTCACATGGAATGTTGGGAAAATTTCAAATTTTTTTTTCAAAAACTAGAAACAATGTCACATTTGGTCTAAAATTAAGATTGAATTCAGTGAAAATTACAGATAATGTGAAAAAATTTATTCAAATTTCAAATAAAAAAATCGGTGCTGAAAGGACCAACAAGTAATTAGGCAATTGAAAAATAACTAACTTGCCTTAACTCATCGCAAACTGAAAACCTCCACGAATACCCGGAATAAATGAAAATAAAAAAACAAAAACACCACCAACTGATGTGTTAACAGACTATATAGTAAATATATAGAAAACACGTATTTTGAAAAAGTTTTGTTAGAAATGTCAATTTAATGAGCATAAATCAGATGAAATTAAAGAGTTCTGTCTGTTTATTAGTGCTGTTATGTTTCAACACCAGATGACCTCAATCTGCTTTTGTTTACTGGTAAAGAAACCTTCACTGCACAGAGATCAATGATACAGTAGAAAATAGAATATCTGTTCACCAATATATTTATGCAAGGCTTCACAGAGGCCATTACCTGGATGCCCAATGAGCTTGCTATGATGCAATTAGAAAATAACCGATATTTTTTATATCATTCTATGCACTAAGTCAATTTATATATTTGGGTCTTGAAAATGGGTGAAATCTCAACTCTGAAGTTCCAGCCCTGATTTTTGTTTAATATATAACATAATCATCAGTGCATATGAGAAAGAAAGAAAAATGTTGTATGTGTCTCGCATCTGATTTTTGTCACAAGCAAAATGGAAAACCATTTTGGTATAAGTAACTACACCTGAATTTCATGAACTTAACTTATACTAAAAAATATTTTATTTCCTCAATCACCAAATTTACAATAAAAGTGCATCATATATTTATGTACACACTTATCACACAATAGAAATAATATTAATTTAAATTTGTAAGTTATTTATTTACATCCACATTTACAGTAGAGTAGAAAACTGTTGATAAATAAATAATCTCCATTTAGTGTGCATTCCTTGTTATTTCCATCGGTGTTCGTCTCGTGTGTCTCGGTGTTCGTGTACTTATTTTATAAGGTTGGAATCAACATAACAAAATGACTGTTAATGCCCCAATTTTTCTGAACTTTCTTCGTGAATAACAAATTTATATCACTGTTACTAATATGATCTTATTTCTGATAAGTTTCCAGTGAGATAATTCTTCTGTTGTATTCAGTAGAATATTTCTCGTCTGTAATCGCCATGTATAATCAGTAACCTATTTAGTAAATGTAAAACTTGAGTTCAACTCAAACTGAATTAATAGGGCAAAATGTGATTCTGATAACCCAACTATACCTAAAACTGAATGCCTACTCTAAACTCTTTATTTTGGCTAAACATGGAAAAGGAAGGGGGGGGGGGCTTAATCACAAAATATTTTATTGAGACTTAGAAAATAGAATTATGGTTCGATGGGGAGGGGGGATTTACTGTAAATATTAAACATTATTAAAGTAATCTGCATGGAAAGTAAATGATGTCCAATTATGAAAAAAAAAAAAATCTAACCTACCCTACTGATTCTTGAAATGCATTTTATAGAAACTTCACAATTATATTAATCCTTATATAAACCATCAAAGTCAACTTTCATAACCATTCACAATAGAAAATATTTTTCACAGATTTTTTTCAAAAATTTAGTTCTAATCCTTTAGCTTTCAGAAAATGATGTCCACTTGGTTCCAAAAAATCAAACATATGGAAAAATATTTAAAAATAGTCAAAATATCACACCAAAATTTTAGTTGGATAAATTATAGTACTCAAACTTGCCCTGTTATACATACACACTGTGATCTGTTAGTCACCTGATGTGTGTCCTTGTAACACTGACATTCAATCCATGCCTGGGTTCTGATAGTGTGTTTATTTAACAGATATATCAGGGAGATACATTCACATTACTTTCACACTATATTTATACAGTCAGTGAAATCAAAGTAGGCTGGCATTCCTTTTTACATTGATTACTGTCCCTGTTGCTGTCAAAAACGACTGGTCAGTTTGAAACTTGGCTTCCCTATTAAAGCAGGTGCACACATGCAATACAGGGCTCCAAATTAACATTGTTTCTTGAAAATTTGAAAAGTCAATTCTGATATCGAGTATAGTACCAAAAAAACAAAATTTCTATCGAATTTATATAATTAGCTAAAATTTAAACAAATGTCAGGTTTTTAGATCCTTCCTAAGAAAAACAGAACAGTTTACAAATACTGTAAAATGACTAATTTTCACTGGGTTTAAATTTCACTGATTTACCATTTCTGGCATATTCAGTGGGTTTTAAATTCACGGTTTCGTCATTTAGATAATGTGTTCTATGCTAAATTTTACATATTCACTGTGTTTTAATTTAGCGCATTTTTCCAGTCAGCGAAATAAGCTAAATTAAAACCCAGTGAATAATTACCCCCTTTACAGTATAACATCAAATCACAGAGGGACTGCGATCAAATGCCAGCCATCATGATCAGCAAAAATAAAAGATTAAGATTAATAGCAAAATATATTTATAACTATTAAATTAAAGGATTAAAGAATACAACTCACTCATAACAAATATGTCTTATTTTAGGATTTATTTTCTATCATTTTTCTGATATTTCAAGTTTTGTTTTGTTGTATTCTTGTTTTCTTTCTTATTCAACTTTATCAAGATCCAACCGAAGATATGATTCAATGAAGATTATCATTACAATTATTAGAACACTAAATTATATTCAAATCTTAACTTGTCAGATCAGAAATCAGTGATTACAAAAAGTTGGGAGACATTCAACTTGGTTCCTAGAAAACAAAATAAATCCATTCAACTCACTTCTATAGTTGTAATATGTCATAGCAATCGGGAAGGTTATTACCAAATTTATGCTGAGAAAATTTATATACATGTATTTCAACTGTAGCTATTGTGTTTGTTCTCATAAAAAGTCTAAATTACTTTAGTGCTGAACCTGTGGCCCAAGAAAAGAGGCTAAGATGAAACTGTTTCTATACTTGGAACCATGTTATAACATACATGTATACCAGTAGAGTAATGTGGTCATTTTCTATATACACATATCATATGAGAGAAATTCCTTCTCAATTTCTTGTAGTCCAATTGAGCTGCTGCTTTTAGAAACTGCATGGCTTCGCTGGGACAGGGATTGGTTGTCTGGGTGCCTCAGGCTACCATGATACCGTGTACATGTAGTAAATTTAATGGGCATGTTGGCCAATCAAAATTGCTTTTTTTCAGTCCCCGAAGGCTTTTGTAGCTGTTTAAGAAAAGATGTTTTTTAGTATAACTCTTATAGAGATTTGTCTGTATCATGTGACTTTCTTTCTTATTTGGTAAGTGTGTGAGAAAACTTATATCTTTATTAGCTTTTCCTTAGGGGACAAGAAATTTCTGCAAGTTCTTGTGATTGATCGCCAGTGTTGCCCCTGCCATATATACTTATGTGTGTACAGTCTGTGTAGTTTATCCACACAGGGAAGCACTATTTAAAAAAAAATATATACATGTATTATTATGAAATGACTAATATTCACTGGGTGTAAATTTCACTGATTTAGCATTTCAGGCATATTCAGTGGGTTTTAAATTCACGGTTTTATCATTTAGATAATGTGTTCTTTGCTCAATTTTACATACATGTTTTCAGTGGGTTTTAATTTAGTGCATTTCCCAGTCAGCAAAATACGCAAAATAAAAGCCCAGTAAGTAATTAACCCTTTTACAGTATATGGTAATAAAGTAATGCACTCAAGCATATTTGATTGGTTATTTCTTGTCACATGTCTTCTTCAAGTGGCATGGTTATAAAAAGTATTTTTAGTCATTACTAAAGGGGAGAAATATGTATTACGTTCGTTTGATAACCATGCGAGTATACGTGCAG